GAGAGCGCTTGGGTCGTTTTAGCTGACACTCACATAATTGAGAAAGGGCTTTCCGGGTATATCCGTAATTCCCTTCCTCTGTAGAGCGATTTCGTTATTATCTGCCGTCGCCATCTAATTGACTTTTTATTACGTTAATGGGGAGCTACTAGCTCGTCGTGTACGTTTTCACATTCAACTACGGTAGAATTTTATTGACGATATTGCGAGCTCACCTCTCGCTTTTCCTACCTTTTACTGGGGGTTTGTGCGTGGGTTAAATCCTATTTAGCTCCGACCTTAACCTCGTCCTTGCTGGGCGCTGCTATTTCTGCTTCCCTGTCAAGCCCAATGCGCGATTAAGTGGATTCCTTTTTACGACGAGTGTAAATCGAAACGGAGAACGGGATTCGCGATGGTTATATCAGGGATTTCTGGTATTTTCGATAGATATATGGTTTATTGCTACTAACAAAAAATTCAACGCAATCATTTCGTTCCACGATATAGTTTCGTGATTGCGTTATGTTAAAACTGTGTCTTTCATTCGCTATATATATATATATATAATATATAATGTCGGATATAAGATATCCGACAATTCATGACAAGCAACTCATCAAACTGGAGATAAAAATGCTCTACTATTTTACAAACAACCATGTAAGATTTTCAGTTATTAATTAAAGAAGATTGAGAAAAAAGTGAATGATCACACAATATGGTGGGTAGTGATGGCAATGTTTCTCGTGTGTTTATACATTACATCAAACTGAACAAAAACGTCATTTACATTTTGCAAATGACTATTATTGATTTAATTATTAATTGAAGAATATTGGTGTGTTATCGTGCAAAGTCATCTACCAATCTTCTTTAATCAATAATTAAACGTCTATGTGGTTATTTGCGAAATAGCTACATACGTCACCATCGTAGCTCATCTAGCGTATCGCATGTGATCATTCAACAATTTTATTTAATTAATAACTTAAAATTTTATTATTTGTGATATAATAAAGGAATTTAGTGTTATAGTGCATAATGAGAGCTCTACTTACACACAACAGATTTATCATGAATACACACGGTCAGAAAATTTCTCTCTCTCTCTCTCTCTCCCTCTCCGTCTTCCCCTCTCCCTCTCCCTCTCTCTGTGTGTGTGTGTGTGTGTGTGTGTGTGTGTGTGTGTGTGTGTGTGTGTGTTACAAATGTATGATACTATATCATAAATGTATTTATCATGAATAAAAACGGTCAGAAAATTTGTAAACACTTGTTTTGCAATACGAAAATACGTCGAACAACATGGCCGCGTTGAGTTTTTTTTTACAGCAATAAACTATATATTTACTGGAAATACCGTGTATGTGTTTCCATGTATCATGAATTATCAGACACTCTGGATAATGTGCCACGTATATAAACATAAATCACGTCATTAACTGGGTGATACACGAAAACTATTAAAGTACCGTAACTAATATCAGTAAAAACTATTGATGATAGAATGATACAAGATTAATATAATGAAAGATTAAAACGTTATTGCACTTTTAACAAATAAAAACTAACATTTACGACGATTAGCATTTTGAATAACGTGCAGCGAGAATGTGTGACGGTTACGTTTACATAGATGTCATCGACGCGTATGATTAAAGACAGCAAACACGCGAACATACGTGTTCACGCAAAATATGTTGTAATAGGTAGGTCGCATGTAAGTCACGACGCAAAGAGTAATACCCTGTCATTGATTCTAGTTCTCTTAAGGACGTATACTGAAGGGTCAATTAGTAAGGACGTGTAATTGCATGCAAAGAAACGATGGTTTCTTCTTACTTACATCGTGAAGTCACGGCTTTTGATGCAGTTAAAAAGTTAATAATAACTGTATAACTGTTAATAATAACATTATGAAGTGGATTCTATTTGTAATGAAAAAGAAACAGTTTTTGTTTTTTTTTCATAAAAGAAATTCAATAAACTATTCGAGAAAGAGATAGGATACAAAATCACAAGATTTTTTAAAAATATAAATCGATTCCTAGAATGTTATTCTGTATATAAAAGTACTGAGTATACTATAAAAAGTAAAGTAAAGTAAAGTATAGTATACGTTAAAAGTAAAATATTCTGAGATAAAATAATGGAAAAGTGGATATGTTCCAAGATATTTTACATTTTATCCTGATATTTTTTCAATACAAAATATGATACTTTTCAAATACAACATTTAAAATATCTTAAAAAATATTCATTTTTTGATAATCTCACCTTAATGGTTTCGTACGACGAAATTAATCGAACAGAAATTAATTAATTGACAGAGATTAATCGATGATACTAATTTTTACCAATTGATACATTAATTAATGTACAAAAAATACAACGGAATTATGTTAAAGATATTTCTATTTTTTATATAACGAACGATTTTATCCTTTTACGTCTAAAAATATTAAGTTCAGCTTATTGAAAAATGGATGTTTTAAGAGATATTTCATACTTTGTATTGTAAAAAGTATCAGGATAAAAAGTACAAAATATCTTGAGAAGTATTTATTATTCGATTATTTTGTTCTAGTACTTTTATGTACACTCAGTTGCATTGATGCTATACCATTCACCATCGATAGTCACTAAAAAGTTTCGACCAACCGTGTCCATTTCTAGCTGATCGTTTCTCATGACAGTTGATTCATCCGGCAAGCGGGAATGTGTCAAAATAAAAGTGACATTTTGACAGCTTTATAGTGTTAATATTTGATTTTAATATTTTCACTCAATTTTCTTTCAAACTATTCGTCATTTGATAAGCTTCCCAATATAAACATTCTACTTTAATAAACATTCTACTTTACTATATTCGAAAATAATATTCGAAAAAAAATATTTAAAAATATTTTTTATTTATTTTTAACATTCTTACACTTTTTTTACTGATTGCGCGTTACATGTGAACGGATAAACTTCTGATAAAAACACGTATGTAAAAAACGTCAAGCTGTGAAAATGTCACTTCTGTTTTGACACATTCCCGCTTACTTGACGAATCAACAGTCATGGAAAACGATCAGCTAGAAACGGACACAGCTGGTTGAAATTTTCTAGTGATTATCAATCTAGTGAATGGTATAGTATCAATGCAACTGAGTGTACAGAATGTTTTTGGGAATCGGTTTGTTTAAAAAAATATAATATAATTCCATTTATATAAAAAAGACAAAGTTATCTTGATATGATCTTGGTAACGCCAAAGGTGCTTATATAATGGTCGCTTTATATTTTATTAAAATAAATCTGTTCACATCATTAAATGGATTTTTTCAAACTCTACAACTTTTGCTTAAAACACTTTTGTAAAATACTTTTCTTCCAGAATATTAGATCTGTTCTGGAACTTTACGAATATTCTATATAATACTTCTAAAAATTGCATCTAATGGTTTTTAATAAATATCCTCTCCTTTGCAACAAAGGTTTTCGCCATAACGCAAAAAATCATACATATTATAATAGGATATTTCGACACTCATGATAATCAACGGGAGATTTACTTCTGCAAGAGACAGGAAATGAATCATTGTACTCGTGTAGTGACGATTAATGTTTTATTGAATGCGTAGTTAGAATGTGTAATATTTACATTGATTCCACGTATCCAGATAAATAACGTTGATGAGCGCGTGTCCGCGGCCGCATCGCCACGTGTCGTGCGTGCCGTGCATAAAACTCGAGATATACGGTCGAGACCGTGAAACCAACGCGTTTTCCGCCGCCGAAAAAACCACGAGACCAGCGCACCGAGCTTTCGCCATTTACAAAACATCGGTAGCCGTCGCGGAAACGCGAGAGTTCTTTCGAATTACACTCCTTCGTCACTGTTGCTTTCCTCTCCCTCCGCTATCTTACAGCGAAATTCCACGCTCAACAGACTCACACCAAATGTCCCCAGACAAATGCCTGAAGATTGTCGTAAAACAGCCTGAGAGGCATCCTGAACTTTTGGGCGGTCTTTACACACCTTTTGGCTGACTTGGCTTTTCTCACGTTGTCCTAATAAAACGAGGAGCGATAGCCCCATCGCGCGTTAACCATATTTATCACCAAATGAGCAAGGTCGTTTTATACGATTCCACGCATTTGTACAGAAGGAAGAACGAATCTCTATCGTTGTCGTTTGTCGATTTCATTAAATGATCGATGAAGGAGTGTATTTTCTTCCGAAAGATTCCGTCACTCACATCGCTCGTGACATGCCATCCGAGGCTGAATTATTCGTCAATCTTGAAGACGCACAAACGGGTGGGTATACACGGAGTGCAGAAGAAGCAAGGAACAAACGGCAAATGTTTGCACCGATCTTCGCTGTATCCTTGTTTTACTTCGCGTTCACACCGAACATTCATTCAACTGTGTATGTGTAAATGTTTGTATTTATTATGTATTTGAACGTAAGTATACACTGAGCGCGAGTAAACAGCGAATATGTCTCGGCATATACCCACCCAAAGAATTTCAAGGTGCGGAGGGGAAACGGCCGCGCCATGACAATGGCACTGTGAAAGTCGACGGGGATTGAGGTAAGGCTTCTACAGCGCGGAAAGAACGTCGCTCATCCACCTCGGGCTCGCGTAATCAAGTTGTCGTGAAAATTCTGCTTGCCTTAATGAAGCGCGATCTTCAAGTAGTCAGCTTGAAAAAAGAAATTTCATTCAAACTTTCTGCTATCCGAAGAGGGTGCGGAGAATTAACAAGTTTTATGCGATATATATATATATATATATATATATATATATATATATATATATATTTTGTTACTGCGTTGGAGCCCAAACATGGAACGAGATTTTTATTCCACAACTTTCGTTTGTTTTTCCATTACAATGCATTAAGAATGGGTCTTTTCATCGTTGTACTGCAGTGTGCTAAAACTTGGCTTAATTGCAGAGAGAGAGAGAGAGAGAGAGAGAGAGAGAGAGAGAGAGAGAGAGAGAGA